CACGCGTGATAAAAGACCCAAAGCTTGGCACCAAATTACGGAGTGAGATAAAAAAAAATCTCCGGTAAAAATACACTCGAAAGGTGTAATAACTCTAGACTACTACATTTGTGATGGTATGATACTGGCTATGACTGATAAAAGACCCAAAGCTTGGCACCAAATTACGGAGTGAGATAAAAAAAATCTCCGGTAAAAATACACTCGAAACGTGTAATAACTCTAGACTTGTACATTTCCGATGATATGATTCTGGCTATATGACTGATAAAAGATGAGGATAATAATACTGACAAGAAATACGGACCTGAGTTGTACCCAAAATTAGCCAGAGCACACTAAGGTGAACCCATACTTTCTCTTTACTTTCCTAAAGGTATTCCTAGATTACAGTTCATCGTACATTGCCCTAATGGATTGTAGATTCTATATACATCCGCTAGGTTGAAGACTGAAGATCTTGTATTACTAGTTTTATGTAAAAGTGATGATCTCTTTGCGAAACTTGAAAATAATCGATCCAAAGCCCATTAGTCGCACTGTCCAATGACTTACGACTGGATATCGATCATTGGCCACATTTAGACATGAGCTTGTACAAAGTTAGCTTAAAGCTTGGCCCTGCCCAGTGTAATTTTCTTGAAAACCTCAGTGTCTAGTGGAACGAACGACTTCTTAGAGTCGTCTCTGAAATACATTGGATCACTGACAACAGAGGGATCAAATCCTTCCTTCACCAAACCTGCCTTCTTCTGTTTGAAGGTGCCAGTGATCTCCATTTCCTTGGTGAGTCGGAGGACTAGCGGTCTGGCGTAGGATGGCAGGCGGGACGCCAGGTGGGCGTACCACTTCCGGAAGTTCGGCTGATGTCCCGGATGTAGAATAATGGCGGCCATTCCAGCTCGACCTTCGTGACCTACGGGTTTTGATTTTTAGATAATAATAAAGACTTAGAGAAACCGTCAGAACTTCAATTTGCAAACAAAGATTTAGGTTGTCAGTTGTTATCCCTTAGGCCACAGCAAGTAATTTTTATGGATGACGTCAGCGCGCATTGATTTTCGCCTGATTTTTTGTTTCCCTCTGACATTGGTCAACATGCCTAAAATGGGCAAAGATGTCTGTTGTCATGCCGGAACGTGAATGGCAGATAATTATGAAGAGAGGAAACAAGATTTAATGTCTTCTTTCTTACTAAGATGCAATGCATATGTTGTGCATGATAAGTGATACTGGCTGTGTATATGTAATGTTCCCACTGAATCAAAGCCATTTGTACAATGACTGAGTCAAAATTTGAAAATGTAGGAACCTTGTTTTTTTCGGCCCGCCCTGTTTTTTTTCGCCCGCTCGCATTTATATAGACTTGGATTCTGTGGAGGAAGTCATCCATAAAATTTATATGCTGTGGCCTTACACGTTTCGAATGCCGTGTTCCCTGTAGCTGTACGTTCGCTCGTCAGTCTAGAGGCGTCAAGCCCGTACCAATTTTTCAGTCCTTATCTTTTTTGGCTTAAAAACATCGAAGTTCAGTAGTCAAGCTCGTACCAATTTTTCAGTCGTTATCTTTTTTGGCTCAAAAACGCCGACCTGCAGGCGTCAAACTCGTACCAATTTTTAGTCGTTATCTTTTTTGGCTTAAAAACATCGAACTGCAGGCGTCAAACTCGTACCGATTTTTCAGTCGTTATCTTTTTTGGCTTAAAAACGCCAACCTGCAGGCGTCAAACTCGTACCAATTTTTCAGTCGTTATCTTTTTTGGCTTAAAAACGCCGAACTGCAGGCGTCAAACTCGTACCAATTTTTCAGTCGTTATCTTTTTTGGCTTAAACCCATCGAACTGCAGTAGTCAAGCTCGTACCAATTTTTCTGTCCTTATCTTTTTTGGCTTAAAAACATCGAACTGCAGGCGTCAAGCTCGTACCAATTTTTCAGTCGTTATCTTTTTTGGCTTAAACCCATCGATCTGCAGTAGTCAAGCTCGTACCATTTTTTTGTCGTAGGTTATCTGTTGGGCTTAAAAACGTCGACAAATACTTCGACCTTGCAGTTATTTACATGAAGGTTTAGGCATGCTTATCTATCTGTCCTTATCACATGCAGACAGCCATCCAACCATGCATATCTCCAAAACAGTAATTATAAAAACCTTATGGACTTTGCACCCTACTGAACTTTGGATACCCTCCCCCTTCATGGCCCAACAAAAGGACATGCACTACATGAATATGCACAACTGGTGAAACTGATAAGACAGCACGTGTTTGCCCTACCGGGTACTTTCACCCCATACACGTTGGCCTCTTGGACTCCTTCGATCTCGGTTATGGCTTGACTGACCTCAGTCGTGGCAACGTTTTCTCCCTTCCACCTTAAAGAAGTAAACAGGAAAAAACAGATTTCTATGAAGATGTGTATTCTTAAACATGGAGTCTACATACTGATACCAAAGTCTCTAAATCTTTTTCGGAATAAAAACACAAATTACCTAACTCTAACACAGTGATCATGATGATGTAATACATATTGTGCAGTCTTAAGCCCCTGGCACACATAAGCCCTTTTCCTACTAGGATTGTCCGGATCGAACCCTCGCCAAACCCTATCTCCCCAACCGTGACTAGGAGTAGGTCGAGAGCAAGGTCGGCTGTGGTTGGTTGATGTTCGGCCTGGTCGCCTACTGTTTGAATGCACCAGCTGAATATTTTGATATGTCAAAAAATTTCGTAGGTGGACAGGAGTTTGGGTCATGGTTGGCTGGTGTCCGGGAGTAGGTCCGTGCTTAGTTGGCAGTCAAATTTGACTCAAATTTAACTCAAATTCGATTCTTATCGAAATTTAGGCATGGCCTAAACCTGGTTACACTGCTCCCGAACTTCAGCCAACCTTGGTCGGCTGGTGGTTCGGGGGAAGGTTCTGAATGTGTGACGAGGGGCTTCAGGCTACCTTGGTCGGCTGGTGTTCGGGGAAGGTTCTGAATGTGTGACAGGGTCTTCAGCCAACCTTGGTCGGCTGGTGTTCGGGGGAAGGTTCTGAATGTGTGACAGGGGCTTCAGGCTACCTTGGTCGGCTGGTGTTCGTGAGAAGGTTCTGAATGTGTGACAGGGGCTTCAGCCAACCTTGGTCGGCTGGTGTTCGGGG